ATAAAAAGTAAATAGCGGAACAAACTTTGCAAACATACACAGAAATCGAGTTGTTACAAGGCGAAGAGTTGCGTTTTCTTCAAAAGTTTAAGGTGATGAATTTTTTCGTACTTACAAGAGGAAATATTTTTGAATAGCATGGTTCTGTTAACAATACCTAAAAAAATATGTGAGAAGGGGCAAAAGTCGCACATAATTTTGGAAAAGGGTCAAAAAATCAAACTTTTCAAAAAGTCGAGTCAAAGGGTATTGGCGCTTAAAAAGAGTCAAATTTCCTCTTTAGTTGCACAACGGCAACACTGCTTCTGTATACGTATACGAACTGCGGCGCTGGGGTTGCTCGCGAGCTTAAATTAGTAAATAAATTAATAAACTCATCAAATGTTCGGCTCACTCATGACTTCGTACGTGGAGTATTTGTAAAATAGTTTATTAGTGTTGATGGCATTATTTTTACTTTTATCGTTCCGAGTTTTAAAGTGAGGCGAAAAATATTTATCACTCACATTTTTAAACACAAAACTTAAAACAACAAAACGGCTAAGCTTTTTACGCCAAACTTTTAATTCAGAAACTGACAATAGAGAAAAGAAGGAGTCTGGAAAAATCGATGACAAGCAATCAAGCAAGCAAGAAGCACGAAAAGTGTTCCACCGTCTCATCCTCTTCAAGGCAGGATGGGCAAATGGACTTGTCATTTACGCCTATCACAGTCAGGTGTTTGTGCAACGAGAAGTGACAGTCAGCAGTCCAACAAGTTGTCTGCAGTGTAGTCTGCTTAGTGAGAGCATAAAACTAGGTAGACCTTCTGAGATTGAAGGCAACATGAGTTTTGCCTCTCGATGCCTCCCAGTCATTGGTGAGCGAAGTATTCACCCAGTTTCTGATGATTGCTTCGATGGACGAAAGTGGGTGTTCTAAAACTGGTTGCGGACCGAGGAATGTCTGGTCTGAGCCAATTCTGACCAATTGGTCAGATGCCTTATTACCAGCATTCAGTCTCAGGGAACTCAACATTATAGAATCTCTTCAACAAAGGTAATAGTGGCCCGCTTTCCTGTAGCATTGAAGACACAAGTGCTTAATTCTCTGCCGCCAGCAATTTCCGCCGCGCCCATTCAGTGTTATACCAACAACCGGTTCCTTTTAGTCTGCAGTAGGCCTTTCCCACGTATGAAAACACAAAGTGACGGTAAGTGCAGCAGTGCGTCAAGAGCATTATACACCGCTCAAAAAAATTAAAGTTAAATAAAGAGGCTATCAAGCAAACATTTTGGTTTCTCACTATCGAAACCAGATACATTTTCGTGGACCCCCACTTACAACTAATCGACCCCCATATTTTTTTCACGCCATCTTAGACCCCCGTCGTAATTTTCTCCGTTTTTCGAAGTGAGCCTCCGAAATCGAGATATAGGCCTTCGAAGTTCGAAATAGGGCCTTTGGTAAAAAATTATTTTTTCTTATTATATGTAAATACTGTAAAAAACTAAAAAAATAGACATAGTCCGCCTATTGGTCTTATTTAAATGGTATATAACCTTATTTTTACAAACTTATATTACAGTTACTATAAGGTCGGGTCTTCGAAAAATTAAAAACCTTATATTTCAAACAATTTTGAACTTAAAAAATTTATATCGTTGTAAACGTGATTAAACCCCCTTTCTTCTTATATGCATGTTTGTATACTTCGCATGTAAAAATTTGAGAAAAAACATTTAAGAGGAAAAAATACTTTTTTTATAACAAAAAAATTTAAACCAAAAAAACTACTAACCGATTTTTTTTAATTTATATTGTTGTAAACGCAATCAAACATCTTCTCTTCTGATATGCGTATTTGTATACTTCGCATATAAAAATTTTAGAAAAAACACTTGAATGGAACAAATACCTTTTTTTATAAAAAAAAAAATATTTTAAACAAAAAAACTACCAACCGATTTTTAAAAGATTGGTATCGTTGTAAAGTCGTTTAAACCCCCTTTCTTCTGGTGTACATATTTGTATACTTCGTATATAAAAATTTGAGAAAAAGCACTTAAAATCAAAACAAAATAAATACCTTTTTTATAAATCAAATATTTTAAACAAAAAAATTACAAACCGAATTTTAAAAAATTGGTATCGTTGTAAAGGATACCAAAAAACTTATTTTTTCTTAAACCCAAAAATTTCTATTCATATACACAAAAAAAATGTAATTAAAACCATTTTTTCCCCTCTATATAAACTCCCGCCCCCTAAGTGAAAGGCTGGCTACGCCCCTGTATACAAAACAATTAAAGTACTTAAACCGTAAATCATACGTTCAGTTTGTTCTTTTAATTGCAGTATCTTCATTCCATAATAATTACAGTATCTTCATTTATGTATATTGTAACTATCAATATCATATGAAGAGAAGTGGGTCATTCCATTGAAAAGAGGAAAACGACATAAATTTAAATATGCCGTAATTTACTCTATTTCAGTAGTAACCTCTTTTTAAATGACTACATTTCATTAACCTGTGGCAAAATATTAAGAAATTAAAAGAAGTTGTAATTTTTGTCTATGGAAGCTTTTATTTCATGCATAATTCCTTTACACCAGTCCCATCGAGATGTCCCACCAGTCACAACTTTAAATATTTTTTCTTCTATGAAGATTATATAAAACTATTTTTTATTGAAAACACGAAAGCGTATAATTTATATTTTACAACACAAATACATCGTTCGTGAAAATTAAGTGTTTTGGCTAAAATTCATCTTTGAGTGCACAAGGGTAAAATAGAGTTATTTTCAGTGTTCCACCAGTCACATTCATTCAAATGATAGTTACATAAAACTAAGAAATCGCTTGGTATTTTACGTATGTCAAGTTAGCACTACACTTTTTGAAATTGGAAAAGTTAACTACGGCATTAAATGTAGTGTTTTTGTTGTAAATTTGTTGTGGAGAGAAAAAATTTGTAGCTCTCATTTTTAAGAAAAAATGGTACTTATGTAGTGCTAACTTGACACCATACAGCTAGTCGATAGAATTGAGATATCTAATATGTTACTATGCCATTAATTGTACCTTTTAACTTTAAAATTTGTTGTGAAAAGAAAAAATTTGTAGCTTTCGTTTTTCTGGAAAAAATTGAAAAATTTTCTGAAAAATTTACGACAAAATTGAGATATTGAAAAGGTTACAGCGGAATTAATTGTAACTTTTTTGTTGTAAATTCGTTGTGGAAAGAAAAAATTTGTAGCTCTCGTTTTTTAAGAAAAAAGGGTATGTAGTGCAACTTGACACCATGCAACTTTGACGACAGAGTTGAGATATTGAAAAGGTTACAACGGAATTAATTGTAACTTTTTATACCCGAGCGCACTTGTGCACAAGGGTATTATAACTTTGTTCACATAACGGTTGTTTGTAACAGGCAAAACGAATCGAGATAGATATAGACAAATGAGCGAAATCGATTAAGCGGTGACTGTCTGCCCGTCCGTCCGTCTGTCTGTGCACACGATAACTCGAGTAGAAATTGAGATATCTTAACAAAACTTGGTGCGTGCACTTCTTTCGGGCGTAAGACGGATGGTGTTGAAAATGTGCGAAACCGGACTGTAACCACGCCCACTTCCCATATAACGGTAATTTTCAGAAATACGAAATCTGCGATATATTAGTAACTACTGAAGATTATTCACTCAAAATTGATATTTACAATAAATTTCTTCCAAACTTGGCACAGTTGTTGGCCTTGGCACAGCATACCAAATGGCCGAAAATTTTTAAAATCTGATAATAACCACGCCCACATCACATACAAGCTCATACTTAGCACGCCAACAGGAAAAATTGTAGGCAAAACCTTTACCATTTTCTTAAGTAAATCCACACTTGAGTATGTTTAGAGATATATTTTACTTTCATTTGCACCTGTCGACAACAACGTAACAGCAACAAAACAAGTGATTAATATGTCTACATTAGTTAAATGTCGTTTATATTTTCTATTTATTTTCTTAGATATACAAATATATGTACATATGTATGTAAATATGTAGTTTCCAGATTGCGAAAAACAAACTTAACACAGCGTGCACCATTGTTTACTCAGTGTGCAAGGCATTCGATTCAGCTGCTACAGTGAAAGAAGGGAGACTGCTGGTGAAAGATCACTTTCCATTTTCACTTGCAACAAATCAAAATAATACGCGATTAAATCACGTTCCACAAGTAAACGTCGCCCGGACCACAGCCACTAAAATAGCTGGCAGGTTCACTTGTTGGACGCACCTCCGCGATGGAGCAGGGGAAGCGAAGGGAATAGCGAGTGCGGCACGCACAACAAATTCAATACGACTTCACTGTTAACAACTACCAGTAACCGAATTTACCTGTTACACGTTTTTGCGGCGACCACGACTTATGTATGTAGTATGTATTGATACGAGTATTAGCATGGTTGGTGTTGCTTGCACTTCTGTTGCAGGTGAGATTACATGCACACATGCATACATAATGCAATGGTTTTATTATTGCAACGCGAAAATTAAAACAACCAAACACTCATAAACACTTTAGACGACCGACCGAGAGATATGTATTTAAATGTACATACCTATGTATACTATATATATTTTCTCAACGCCACTTTTAGTGCTGCCGATTACTACCTAATGCAGACACAGGCTATATGTATGTAGCATATTTGACGATGTCGTTTACAGTGGAGATCTCACACGCTGACGAGACGCTGAAACGCACTTGACTTTCTTTTCTATACCTTTCGCGCGACCAGCTTGTCAGCCGGTTTTTACCAACTCCACCTGTTTGTTGTCAATCTCTCGGCAATGATTAAGGAAAAAAGCGGTCAAACGGGCGTAAAATTATTCATAAATTTTTATTTTTTTTTGCGCTGACATTAATCGCGAAAATAGTTTTATTTTACTTAAATTATTCACATAAAATTTACTACAAATAAATTGCAAATTCACATTCAAATACATACATACATATCTATGTACAAATGGCGAGTGATGACCAAAACTATGAAAGCTTTTGAATGAAGCACAGGCGAACAGCGTACCGAGCGCGCACAACCGACCCTTGCGACGAACCAATCGAACTAAAGTGGAAGCAACATTTGGAGTTGGCGCTTGGCTATGTTGCGCTCGAACGTACGAAAACTTCATCGAGCAAACATAGGTGCCAGCAGCAGCGAACAATCATCGTCGGTATTATTTCGAGTGAAAAGGCAGCAAACTTTAGGTGGCGGTTTCCCACGATAGCTCGTTATTCGTTAGGAAAATACAAGCCTAACACCATTAATTAAAGTTATGAGACGGCATACATAAGTAAGTAGCTGGTTAAACAGCAAAGTCGATCGAAATAAATTCGATATAAACAATCTTTCGTTTTGATAGAACATTCGTAGTATCCTTTGCTACCCGTAGTCCACGCGAATGGTTCCATATTGGTAAAGCCCCTCATCTTTGTTAAGACATCATTAGGGCTTCTGCGCACTATAGAAGGACGGCCATGATCAGAGATTTATAATACATCAGCCTAAAGGAACAAAGGACGATACTTTGGCAAAACCTCGTACCTCAGAACTCACTACTACTTCGCGTCTCGTAAAATTGATTCAAAATAGGCATTAAAATACTATTTATTTATTATTATTAGTCAACTAAAAAGTACTCAATGTATAGTAGTCAGTAAAAAAGCCATTAAAAATGATTTTCTGTTATTAAGAGATAGTATTTTGTTAGAGAGTTTTGATTGACAGTGTTTTGAGATATGAGGTTTGGCCAGTCGATATGCTGTTGCAAAAACATCGAATTTACCAAAGTCAATGAAATACTTCTTCATCTTTATTGGTCAATTGGAAATGCCAAGTAATGCCAAGTCTTCCCACCTGGTATTTCCAATGCAGAGGAGGCCTTCCTCTTCCTCTGTTACCAGCATCGCAACCCGCGTAGAAAACTTTCAGAGCTGACGCATTTCTGTCCATTCGAACGATATGACTTAGCTAGCCGCTGGATTTTAATTGGCTGCAGTAGCGTTGTAAAACTAATACAGCATACATGCATCGTTCCATCGTCTGCGGTACTTGCCGTACCCACCTCGCAAAAACCGCCGCCTCTCAGATGTTTTCATTGTCTATGCCTTCGCGCCATACACCAACAGGGGCATGAAGAGTAACTTAAAGGTGTGATTTTTATACGGCGAGCGAGGATATTACTTCTCAGTTTGCCTACTCAGTCCAAAGTAGCACTTGTTGGCAAGAGTGATTCTCCGTTGGATTTCATGGCTTACATAACACTGTGAGACAAATGGTAGGGGTCAGTGATCGGGAAGGGTTCAAACTACCGGGGAAAGTTATATCGGTAAAAAAGAAGTTATACGTGTCCCGGCGTTTCGCTGGGTCACATCTAGGAATCGAGATATATCGATTTGAAGTTAGTAACTATCATATAGGGGAAATTGTCACCTTTGGTGGTCTTTTTTTTGACGTAACTCGAGAACCACTAGTCCGATTTTGCTCAAACAAATTAAAAAAAATTAAAAATTACAATTCCTTTAATCTGTTCATATAACGTTTTTCTATATAATCAACAGTTTTGCCGGTAAAAATAAATGTATGAAGAAAAAAAATATTTTTTGCCTAAAATATTAAATTTTTTTTATTTTTTAAATTCATAAAAAATCCAAAACGGAAAAAAAGGCAAGTCGTATTACTTTCACGCAAAGTCACATAACCTTTAAGCAAAATGAGACATAGATCATGAAAATCGATGGACGCGTTTCGCATTTATTCACAATTAAGTGAAGGTATCTCCACCAAAGGTGACAATTTCCCCTATATGATAGTTACTAACTTCAAATCGATATATCTCGATTCCTAGACGTGACCCAGCGAAACGCCGGGCCACGTATAACTTGTTTTTGACCGATATAACATTTCCCGTTGGTTTCATCCCATCCCGATTTTGACTGTCGCATAGTGTAATTATTGGTGTTAATGCTGGTTGATAAATAAACGAAGTCGTCTACTTTTTCAAAATTATAGCTATCAACAATGACATGGGTGCCAAAACGCGTTTGCTATGACTGTTTGTGTGATGACAGGAGATACTTCGTTTTATCCTCGTTCACCACCAGACCCATTCGCCTTGTCTCTTTATCTAATCCGGAGAAGGTAGAACAGACGTAGGTAGCTCTTGTTTTTACCGATAATGTCGATGTCGTCGGCATACGCCAAAAATTGTACGCTCTTGTAAAGTATTGTGACTAAGCGGTCCAGTTCTGCGGATCTTATTATCTTCTCCATCAGATTAAAGAAATCCCACGAAAAGGAGTTACCTTGTCTGAAACCGCGTTTGGTATCAAACGGCTCGGAGAGGTCCTTATCAATTCTGACGGAGCTGGTGGTATTGCCGAATGTCATGTTACGCAACCGTATTAGTTTCACGGTGATTCGAACTTCAGGTATCGCGGCATAAAAACAACTTCTTTCCGTACTGTCGAAAGCGGCTTTGAAATCGAAAAATGTTTGGTGTGTATTGATCCTATTCTCGCGAGTCTCCTAACCAACCACCAAACCTTTATCAACTTTAAGAAAGCTGATTGGAACGGCTTCGCGGGAGTAACTGAGAGCAGCTTCGCACCCTTCCCACACCCATAGACATACACGCTGGCGAACGCCAGTTCCGCAGGGTAGTCACTGCCGCAGCAGCTCGCTTCATACCATCCGGCAGAAGCAGCTCTTCTAGCTAATGAGCGTGTGACCACCTATGCCACGTCGATCCTCGTCCTAATTAATTAATTTGGAGATTCGGCAACTGGTAACTCAGCATAAGCGGAAAAAGTGGAAGGGCACTTGAAGACCTGCAACTTCGCCTCTGGTGTGAGTAAGCTCTGGTCAACCGTGAGGTCCCTGTCCAACCCGAAGAGGCGCGACGACAGTGGAAATTTAATTCGATGGTCGCGCCTCGTCGAAACCGAAGATATGCGCGAACTTTTTTAGCTGGCAGTTCACATTGCATCCTTCGGTAGATAGAGCCAAACGTCTTGCCAGGAGGGTGCACAAGTTGCCCAAAAATAGTGCACTACTTACCTTTACCTTGTCGGCCGCTGTGGTGTAGTGGTAAGCAGTGCGCGCTTCCACTCCGCGGCACCTGGGTTAAAGCCCTGGACAAAGCAACATCGCAATGGCAAACCTCCGAGTGCATTTCTGCCATGAAAAACAGCTTCTCATAAAAATACAATCGCCTTTCGGAGTCGGCGTAAAACTGCAGGTCCCTCCGCTTTATGTGACAACATCAAGGCGCACGCCACAAATCGTAGTAGAAGCTCGGCCAAACACTAACATATGTGTAAGCGCCATATGAAGGAGTGCACAGAAATATATGAAAATGATCGTCTTTTAGAGATCTTTTCGTGCAATAAACCTAAATTTTATATTTTTTATGTTTCTCGTCAAATTTAGGAATTATTTCATTAGTTCTATGTTTGCTGGTATAATAATACTTGTTGAGTTTTACTTTTCCTTCAATAAATAGCACTTATGAAATGAGTTTTATTTTTCGTCCTGTTGTAAAATAAAACTCACTTGGTAAGTTTTATTTATCGTTCAAAAATAATTGTTATTTCGTAAATTTTACTTAAAAATAACTGACCTTAGTTTTCAGGCCAAGGACGGTGGCACAAGATGTCCTTTTTGAACCTATTTACTTTGGCCGGAAAACTAAGGTCAGTGATTTTTAAGCAAAACTTACGAAATAACTATTAATTTTTGAACGATAAATAATTCTTACAAAGTGAGTTTTATTTTATAACAGAGTTTTATTTTACAACAGAGTTTTATTTTACAACAGAGTTTTATTTTACAACAGAA